ACGCTCTTCTTGTTACGTGACCGTTTCCTCTGTAGGCCTGTCAACTGCAGAGGGAGGCTTCAACAAGTAGCAAAGAAACACTCTTTTCTCCAGGAGCTGTGGGCCAACGAGGACAGAAAAGCTACAGTCACTGCTCCTTTTTCAAGGATGAAAACCAGGCAGTTTCTTGAACACTACACACTTCCCATACATACTTATGCCCCCCAAAAAAGCAACAGTAGGTTTTCCTGCCCAGATGCATAACTTGGCATTGACTACACCACGAAAAGCAAGAGTCTGTCTGGATGGGCTGGATTCCTGAACTACAGCTTAGAAGGGAAGGGTGCAGAATATCACCATAAACTGGCTCACAAGGAATAGTCATCTTAGGCGAACACATGCTAATACATTTCACAGAATGAGGGGTAACAGTCTAGAATCCAAAATGTGAAGTTTGGAACATCTCTCACCAAACCTTACTATGAGGGCCTGCACCAGTGAGACAAGAATTGCAAAGACAGCAGCAGAGCAACAGCGAACAGCACAAAGGGTATCATTCACCAAGAGACCGTCCCTCGTTCCAGAGTCAACCAAGCCATCGGGAGACAACAGAACTTCACGTGGACGAAGAACATAAGGGCTAAAACCAGAAGAGGGAGAGCTAATCACGAAAGCCATTTATCCCATTTTCGATGTTTAAATACATAGGCCAACCCACTAGGTCAGATGTCTTCTTCTTGAGAAAGGCAGCATCTCTGAACCTGGGATGAAGGACACTTGAACATAACACATGAGCAGAAGGACCCAATGGAGACACGTAACTGAAAGAACCATTGGACTGCTGAAGACTTTCTCAAAACTTCTAAGGAAAGAAGGATCTGGGTCTGTGGCTGTAGGGCTGTGTAACTGGCTTCCACCTGGCTCCTCTCAAAGAGGTCTTTGTCGGCACACCCAGGCACACCTGTGCCAGGCTGGGCCTCAACGCCGAATCAGTGAGGGCTGCAGACAACCGTCAAAGCAGCAGCGGATCTCCCCAGAGATCGGGGCCCAAAGGGCAAGACGTTCAGACAGGAGTCACTGCGACACACTCTGCTGCTCAACAATCACCACAGCCAATGTGAGCGACCCCGACCAGACCCACAGCTCTTCCTCTCCCGCCTAGTGCTCATGAGCAGCAGCGTGGCAGGAGGGAAGCCAGGAAAGGAAGTGGTGATGAGGTACAAAAGGAGGAACTGACATCTTTGGGTTTTTAAAACAAATTCCAATCTAGGAAGTGGGAAAATAAAAAGGGAAAGAATTCATTCTGAATCAACGGACAGAGAAATATGGCTTACTAACCCCACATTCTGCATACAATTTCATATAAGAGAGGGAAAAACCCACCCCAACTCATCACAACGCAGTCCAAATGTTTGCAACCAGAGTCATGAAAATATTTCAGGTGAAATCACTTAAGAAAAAAAGAAAGAAACCAGAAAGCTTTCGATCATTGCTTTCTAAACAAAATTGGTAGATCTACTCTCAAACACACTTAAGAGTATTCCACACAACATGTTCAGAATTCAGATTTATTGATTTCCACCATATTGACTTTTAAAAATGGTATGAAGCTGACTGCAAGAAAGGGAACCGGTGATTTTAAGTTAAAATTAAGCTAATGGTGAAAGTACATCACCTCTGGCTTCAGTCACCACATCACCTTAGATTGGATATAGATTTTTTTTGAACAAAGTTCCAGAACTCTGAAATCCAGGGATGCTGCAGGCCTCTCCCAGCAATGTCCTTCACTTTGGGTCAGTCTCCTGGGCCAGAGGTGAAAGTGCTTTCAAAAATACTGCCATTTCCCCAGCACAGTGTCTTTGATTGCATCCACATATTGAGTTGGAACCCAGTACACCCAGTAGTAAGAGGCTTCCGTGGGGCCCAACTGAAACGCCTGGAAGGGAAAAAGGAAAACCAAGCGGTACTTCAGAGGTCGGGAGACTGAGCAGGCAGCACAACAAACATGGGGAGGGCTGAGAAGTGAATTAATTAAAAAGGGAAGGGGAAAAAAAAACTGTGCACATGGGGAGCATTCTCCTGTCAAAAATAAATGGATAAATAAAACATAAAAAGGTGGGAGAGTTAAGCATAGCCGATTCTAAAGCAGTGGTTCCCGAACTCGCGCATGCAGCAGAGCCAGCTGGGGGCTTGTTAGAACAGACTGGTGGGCTCCAGCCCTTAAAGTTCCTGGTTCCAGAGAGATGGGGCAGGGCCTGAGGATCTGCATTTCTAACAAGTTCCCAGGTGATGTAATACTGCTGATCCAGAGACCAGTTTGAGAACCACTGCCCTAGGAAAACTGTCACACATGCAGGAGGAAACAGACATGAGTGTTCAAAGCAGCACTGTCAGAAATGATAAAAACCTGGAAACAACCTACATATCCATCAGTAAGGGAACGCAAAATTAAGTGACCTACTCGTATGAATACTGGATTTACTTTTAAAAGGTATGAACTGGATCTAGAGTTAATACAGACAGATCGTAATGTCGAACCAAAAAAAAGCAAGTTGCAGAACGATACATACCATGATACCATTTATGAAAACTGAAAAAACACAAAACAATACTGTAGCTTGGTCATGGATATACGTGAAAATAAACGCACAGAGAGATGGGAAGGATCCACATGATAAATTATGATAATGGAAATGGGGGGAGGGGAAGACAATGGGGACATATTCACTGCTGGTATATTTTATTTAAAGCAAGATTGAAAACAGGTTACAAAATATTTACAATAGTCATTTCTTGGTGATGGATATATGGGTTTGTTATAGTACTCTCGGTCCTTTTCTGTGCTTTTTAACGTTTCTCTATGGTGACATTCCCCCCTTTTCTAAGGTGACCTGTGAATCTAGCTAGTGAAATGGCATCTGCAAAGAGGGAAATAAACACTTTCATTAAGACAAAGGCCAAGGTGCTACTTAATAGCATTTAGAAAAGAAAGGGGGCCATTAGAACCCACCTCTGCCAGCAATGACTCCAGAGAGAAATCAGCATTTAAACTAAATACAAAGGCATTAGCCGTCCACACCACCTCCTTAAAAGATGTCCAAAATGGTCCACTCTACTTGTTTGAAATCCTTCTTCCCAGGCTGTCTGAAAACTGGGACTGCAAACCCTACCGGGTCAAACTGGTGAGACAGATGTTTCGAAAGGGAGTGAAGGGGCCCAGCTGAAAATATTAAAATCCAACTTTTAAAACAGAAAAATTCACTGAGCAGGCAAAACAAATCACCTGCAATCCTTTAAAGACTACAGAGACTAGTGGTGGAAGGGCCGCCCGAGGGCCTGAAAGGAGCCCGTGTTGTCGTCGCCACTGCCCGGAGGACACCCATGAGCTGTGCACCCAGGGCTGTACGGCCAGCCACGGCCTGACGCAGCCCGAGCTGACAGACCCCGACAGGGCAGCAGAGGGGACATGACTTGCTGACCTCCTAGAGCCAGGGGACCTGTCATCTGCCCAGAGAGAACCACCATGCCTCGAGATCCCCTTTTCCCGGACCTCCCAACACCTCCCTGCGCCGTGAACCCTGGAGGCCAACCCACAGCTCAGACCGCTGGCTCCTGCTCCTCCCTGGGCTGGACTGCCGCCGCCGTGGCTACATCACTGTCACCTCCTCAGTGAGCAAGGGAGGCAGCCCTGCCCGCACCCTATCACCGCTCAGCTTAGGTCCCTGGCACAGCAACTTCGGAGCAAGGTGGCTGGACTTCCTTTTTAAAGCAGTCCCTTCAACAGTGCTGGGAAGACAGGTGTCTGCCTAAGCTGCTCAGGGAGTCTCGCCACGGAACTCCTGCTCTGTTCTGCAGACCTGGGGAATGCCTCCAGACGTGCTGTCTGGGAAAGAGCTGCTGCTCTCTTTAGAGTACAACTCCTTGCTTAACCAGGTCACAGACTCCACCCTCCCCACAGGGTCCTCGGCCACTTGAGGGCTGCCCCCTGGGATAAGCAACATCACTGCAGAAAGGGGCAGCCTGGTGCCCTCACAGACGCCAAGGCGAGTGGGAGGTTTTGTTTCATACGCAAGACAAAACTTAAAATGAAGACCCACAAGCCATTAACCTCCTCTTTATATTTATTTTCCTGATCTAAAAACAAAACATTACAGATATGAGAGATGCAGCAGAGATAAGTGTATCCCCTTTAAACTGCTGGGGGCAGGGTGCAGTTTGCAAAATAAACAGAACAAGGAATAGGTCATGGATTAAGTTCTAAGAATGGGAAGACAACATGAGGGTCTTAACCCTGCATGTCTTCTCAACACTGAGTGCTCTCTTCAGTGAAACATCCATCCCCTGTTGGAGGAGCAGAAGCAGGAGTCTAGGGAGGGCCAGGCCACGCCGGCTACTTACCATCATGTGGTAGTCTTCGTGTCCTTCGATAGGTTCACTGACCACATTTTTAATGGAACCCATGGGCAATTTCTCAGTCCGCTCTAAGTTAAGAGGGATTACAGTGATTATTAAAGGCCCCCCTGCTCTACTCCTGTGACTCAGTAGTCCCTCCTCAGGGCTGGTGGCCGGGGGAATCTCTCCCCACCCTCTAGGGACGACGGGAGAGATCTGGTCAGTGCACCTCCAGCCCTGCTTGGGAGATGGGAACTTCTTAGGAGCAAATGGGGAACCGGACCTGACAGAGGTATATTAAAGGTTTCTGAGAGCAGAGGTATAGCTTGCCTGGTGTTACTCTGTAACATCTGATGATTAATAAACACCCAAGAAATTCCTCTGCACGCTTATTGCCAAGCCCAGCCCTGGCTGAGGTCTTTGGCACCTGGGATAGTCAAGGGGACCAAAAAGAGGCAACTGCATGCCCCTGTGACTTGTACAGGAAGGGGGATGCTTGGGGCTTTAAGACCAGTTTCTATCGCTTGAGCCTGCTCACTCCCCCTCCCCCCATTCCCTCCCTTGGTCCCCCACCCCCTCCAAATACACACACTTGAAGTTCTCTGAGAGCATTCATAACCTCTTATGATTCACACTCTAAATGCCACTTATCACATGGGGTGAGAAGACATTTTGCAGCAAGTTTAAGGATGGCAGGTAAGAAAGAGGAGGCAGCGAGGGATGCCTGGAGTGAGATGAGACTGGAGGTGAGCCGAGGGCAGCAGGACAGGGCTGGTGGCAGGAGAGGCGGGGGCACCTACACAACAAAGCCACCGCCCAGAAGCAGCAGACACCTCAGGGAGGAGTTCTCAGCACATGGAGAAACCAAGCTGGAAAACTCATTACAGGCTTTGCAGAAAGCAAAATCTGGAAAATGAATAAATTGACAAAACAAACCAGGAACTCAGAGCCCTGACTTGTCGTCTAGTTGGTGACTCGAGACATGTTACTTCCATCCTGTGGGCCTTGGTCTCTGAAAAATGGGGATAAGGAGATGGGACCTGAAGATGTTCATTCCGATTTTGACTTTCAGTGGCTCTAAAACAGTGACCCACAGGTAGGACCTGACCAGCACTTATCTTTAAGATGGAAACTTTTAAAAACACCAGCCATTTTGAATTGTCCAGAGATTTCACGCAAAAATATGGACTTCTGGCTTCTCTTGAAAACACAGAAGATTCAACAATCCTGGGCCCACATTCCTGAGTGACAGCAATCAGCTAGATTAGAGACTCGAGTTGCCTACAAGCAGGGCACATGCTCCCCCGAGGAGGCTCCACGTGGTCACAGGTCCCAGTTCCTGCCTGGAGCTCATTCTTCCCCCTCCACTGGGCCTGAGGCTGTCAGTACTGCTTTCTACACACGCTACCACAGGAGCCCTTGAGTGCTACTCGGTAAAGCATCCCATCGAGAAAGAGGCCAACTAACAGCTGGGATGGTCACGTCAGCAGAAAGATGAAGCCAGTGGCTGGCAGCCAACTCCCAGAACAAGCTGTCCTCCTCGGACAGTGTTGAGGACACCCAGGTGACAGGACTATTGGGCTCCCAAGTGAGAAGAAAGCCTGAGGTACACTGACACAGCAGTCTGGGTGGGAATGGAAAGCCCAGCCTCGGTCAACCCTTGAAGACATGAATGTTCACGGCCAGGCTCTTTAACAAGGCTAGTGAGTAATGTGGCTCTCAACAGCTCTGAAGCCCTGATACATCAAGATTCTTCTAGAGCTCTGCCTTTGTGCCAAAGCAGAAAGGCAGCTGCTCCTACAAGCTGAAAGAAAACCTCTAACTCACGTGTGGGAGGTTCTCTTTAGCCCCTGCAGTTACGATGTTGGTTCCTATACAACTTCATAACCTGAAAACACTCCCTGAGGAACCAACGAACACTTACACACTTAGTCCTCGTCCAGCTCCCCTGCCTGCACCCACCCTCTGGGCCAGCATCCTTAGCCCCTGCCTCCCATTAGGCTGCCCGAGTGAAAGTGCAAGCCTAGGAAGAGGCAGGCTCTCAGCAAGTCAATGCAATGGTGGAGAACTAAACAAAATCACCTGCAAGGTCATGAATAAGTGACGACCTGACAGAGGCAGGGCAGCTCACAATTAAAAAAAACTGATGATGTGACAGGCTCTGCAGAAGAGAATGACCTGCTAAAGGGTTCAAAGGCCCCTGGGAATGCTGGGAAAGCCCTTAAATATTATGTACAACTTGCTTTGCCCATGCAGTTAGAGTCGAAAGTGAAATGAAGACTACAGCAAGGAATCATAAACTTGTTAGAAAACTCAAGCATTTTGGCCATTTCAGTCTTTGTTCATTTTAAGAATCAGGATAGGGTTGAAAACAAGAAACATTTTCATATTTCACATGATTAAAATCTCACTCCCCATCACCCCTACTCCAATTATTTTCCATAAAACTTTGGTCTCATTTTAAGCAGAATCATACTAAATGGGCTGTCCCTGAAACCAAGTAACCTCAGACGATGAGATCCCCTATACTTCTCTTTACCATTTACCTCGAACACTGAATACCTACAGTGCTGGCCAGAAACAGGTGAATTAGGCATGTTCGGTTCCCTCCAGGAATCTAACAGGGGGACAGACAAGTCAGAGAGTAATGAGTACTCTGAGGATATAACGGGGCTCTCTATGAACAGAAGGGGCAGCAATTCATTTGGAGGGTGGGGGAGATATCAGGGAAGGCTTCATTAGGAGAGCACATTTAGGTAGGACCTCGGAAGACTTGTTAACAACAGGAATGGGAAATAGGCATTCTGGGTAAGGGCACAGCATGAGCAAAGACATGAGCTGTGCAAAGCACGGTGGGAAGCTCAGGGAGTGATGCAGTTGAAGTACGTATAGGGCACAACAATGCAAGTGGGGCAGAAAGTGAGGTCAGAAACTTAAACTGGGCCCCATCGTTGAGAATACGGGACACTATGTTTAGGCATTTGAACTTGGCCTTAAAGAGCGCAAGGTTTTTGAGCACGGGAACCAGAGAGGAAAACCCAGTACAGAAGATGGGCAGGACAAGAGATCCCGGATGGGGCAGGGATATAGGTTAATTTGCTTTAACAGACCAAAATTTGAGATGCTAGGAGTTAACTGGCACAACAGAGTGGCAAAGAAAGGGACACAGATAATTCTGGAATGTAACTGACAAGACTTTGAACCGTCTGGGGGAAGGGAAAGGGAGGTCAGTTAGAGACACTTCCCAGCAAAAAGCAAGCCTGATTCACAGGCACAGGCAGGGTAGGTGGGGGGAAGCAGAGGGCAACCAGGCAGGGAAGGAGGGGCAGGTCCCTAGTACAGGGGCAAACTCTGATCTATAGGAGCCAGGCAGGTGACATAAATTAATAAAGCTGGCTACAATAAAGGATAAATGAAACAATGAGGACTACAGCATGGACCCCCTAAAACCACTGCTCAGCTCTGGCTGATCGTTGCCATGTGAAAATGCAGGTCCAGAATGGCTAGATCTTTTGCTTCTTTTCAAGAGAAGCACACACACACACACAAAAATCAGATCCAGTGAAACCTCCTGATTTTCAGATTGTGTGTAAACTCATAAAACCCTTGTCTGTGGACTAGACCTGGCCCTAAGGCCACATGTTTTGGAACCTCTGGTTTTGGCTGCAACTGAAGAGCCAATGTTTGATGGATTGGCCCTGAGATCAGACTAAAAAGAATGAGGGAAGAGGGTCCAAATAGAAGGCGAGCAATCAAAAAGCAAAACTGAAAGCCAGGAGCACACAAAGCACAGTGGAGAAGGATTTCAGAATGAGGAGCAGAACTGCACCCAAGGCCACACCCTGCAGGGTACGAGAGGCAGTGAGCCAGGAAGAGGTGAGAGCAGTCCATACCTTTAGTGCCGATCCACAGCTGGTCTTGTTCTAGCTTAAAGGTAAGTCTCACTTTTCCCCCGGACTTATTGTACATGCCAGATAAGGGTACAGCTGGCAGGCGCTCCTGGAGACACAAGAGCATGGTAAGAGAGGGAGGAACCAGAAACAAGGCGAGACAGGAAAAGAAGACGGGACAAGAGTCGAGGACCTGATTGCAGGAACCTCATGAGTCAGAAGGTGAGCCTGGGTCCTTCTCAGAATGCTCACAAAGGAGTGTGGCTTACCTGGGTGCCCTTAACAGACGGCATCACATCTTCAGGTTTTCCTTTATCCAACACTTTCCTGTGTTGCTATAAGTCAGAAGAGATAATTAAATGAAACAGCTGACTGCATTTTAGTCTATTATTACCTCTTTGAAAAAGAGAATGAAGAAAGCCTTAATGTTTTGGTTCAAAAGCTTTTTGTGACTACAGATATGGGTCCTCTGAAACTACAGAGCGGTGCTGTCCAGCAGAAATTTCTGTGATGGAAATGTTCTATATCTATGCTGTCCAAAACAGTAGCCATGAGTCACTTGTGGTTATTAAGCACTTGAAATGTGGCTAGCATGAATAAGGAACTGAATTCTTAATATTACTGAATTTTAATCAGCCACATGTGGCTACCACATTAGACATCAAAGCTCTAGAGCAATCAGGATTTCCAGATTGCTAATTCAAATAAACTCTATTTCCTTCTCCCCCTCCCCCGAAATCACCACTGAAAGAATTAAACATCAAGATAAGACAGCCACAAAGGGTGCTTGCTCTCCTGGCATGTACAAAACAGGACAGCCGTTTCTGTCAACTTAAACTCCCAAAGAAACCTATGAGGATGCTGATAATCAGCTTAGCTGCCCTAGAAGGGGCACTCCTTCAACAAATGGAGACTCAGTCCATTGCAGAAATCTTCCCCATAACCCCACCCTCAACCCCAGCTAAACAGAAAGCTCAGGAGCCACATTTCCAAAGACAAATGCTGATTACTCTATAGCTTGACATTAAGAAGTCTCTAACCCCACTCCCACCTCAGGAGTCTGAAGCAGCTCATTAAGGGTTCTAATTAGGCTCACGGCCCCCTAAAACTGTTTCTGTCTGGCCCAAATGCCTGAGTCTTGTTTCCTCTCCATCTGTGGCTTTACAGGTACAGTTGCTGTCTGGTCAAGCTAGAACTGTAGGGTAATAAGTGGGTAGAGGGTAAACATTTAATCGAATTTAAGGACCAGGTGGCCAAGAGCCAGCTTAAACCCACACCGGCATGGTGGAAACCCTCTGGCAGGAATAAACTCAACACTGCCAGACTGCTAGCAAAAGGTCACTTTACATATCAGCCCTAGATTCTTGAGCAAGCTGATGAAAAGCCAGGAGAACGGGTCCCTCTCAGTAGGCCACGTTATGCCTCATAACCGGCATCAATGGAACAAAGCTGCGTGGATTAGAAGCCTAACTGGACTCATGCCTCACAAGTACCTTTTGAAGAATTTTCCCTTCACTGTGGAGAACACTTCTAAAGCCTGTTAAGCTACCATTAGTAACTCAAAACCTGTATTTAAGAGGCATGTTATGCTCCAAGGGTGTAACCAGTGGGAAGGCTCATTCATGTCTGACATGTTCCTATTTGACAATTCCATACATCGTGGCAGAGGAAGATATGAAAATGGAAATGCACTCACTTAGTTACAAAACATTATCATCCCATATTTAGAGGCAAAAGTATCCAAATAAACACATTTTAGATGTTAATATAGGTTCACAACCCCTTATCTGAAACCCTAAGGACAAATGTTTTGTACTTTATAAAGTCTAAAACTTTTAAGAATTTTATAAACGTAATACAGTTTTGGTTTTTTTTTCGTAATACAGTTTTAAAATACACTACATAATATTCTTTGTGGAGTCTAGGATAGCACCTTGTTACCAAATATGTTAATATTTCTAGGGCAAAACATGACTATTCACACTAATTCTGATCAGGTTTTGCTGCCAAATTTATAAAAGCACTTGGGTTTTCAGACTCTTTTGGGGTTCTGGAAGCACATATAAGGGATTACGGACCTGTAACAGAAAACTGTGTCCTTCTCACACTGTTGGCCATGTGCCTTGGTGCCTAAACTAAGGTCACTGAAACTGATGTTGGTCAAGGTTGGTTTACTCTCCTCAGGACACAGATTAAGTTGAGAATATCTATTTTCCTGGAACACATTAAGAGTAGCCAGGAGACTCCATAACTACAAGTGGGGTTTGCTGGGTGATAAGATCACAAGTGATGGTTCTTCCAATCAGTTCCTTCCACAGTGAAACACGCTTACTTTTCCCAATTACAAAAAAGAATCTGAATGGCTACAATGAGCACAAAACAGGCTGGATCTCTTCCATCCAAAATGACCAACAAAGCATGTAAAAATTCAGGCCCCCATTTCACAGACCAGGAAGAGGGAAAAAAGAAAATCAGCATAGTTATCTTCCTAGTCAGCTTCATTTGGCTTCCTGAAACAGTCAGTTTTAGAGGAACCTCTGAAAGCTATTGATTTCCATGCCTATTCAGAAAACGGCTTGTTGACGTGAGGGAAGCCACAAGCCAAAAAAACAAATGTAAGCACTTGTGTAAAATGGAGGATTAATTCCAACAGTGGCATTTTTCTCTGGCACTAAATAGGAGAAAAACCCACATCTGCTTCATTTCAATACCTGGTCTAAAGCCTGCCTTTACAAAGGCCTTATCCTAAAGTAGATAGACTTGAGACACACTGACCCGCCAGATGAGACAAAGATGCAAATCTCAGGTAGTTGTCACCTCCACTCAACAGCCAGCCGCACCCAACTGCTGCCATAAATTTCCATCATGGGCCCTGTCCAAAAAGGAGCTTATTCTAGAAAGGATACAACCAGCCTAGGCTTGAGAGGACAAAGCCTCACACTTCCCAGGACCAACAATCACACGACAGACTCACTTTCTGCCTGCAGAGAGGCTCTTTCTTGTTCTCTTCGGCCTTTGCGTCCTGCTGGGCAGCATCTTTGGGTGTGTTTACTGCTAAAACATCATTTATCGTGGAGCCAACCACCATGATCTTGGCTCCACTGGTGACTTTTATTTCTCTCAACGTCTTATCCTCAGGGACAAGTCCCTTATACATGACTTTCTGCATGGCAGGCGGGAGACCTTGGGAAAAGGTAGAGAACAGTGAAAGGAAGAAATGAAAAACATTCTTGCACAACAGACCCGAAAGTGAATACTGCTCTATCGCCAATTACTTTTGTGCACTCAGGCAATTCACAACCTCTCTGAGCCTCCAGAACCTCATAAGAGTAATGACAATAGTTCCTTCTGTATGAACTTGTTTTAAGGACTAAGACATAGTAAATACGGAGCATTTAGTGCAGCACCTGGTATTTAATAACTGATCAATAAATATCAGCTATTATTCATTCCAAGTTGTTCCTCAACCATCTTGTAACTCAAATATTAAGTGAGATTCCACAAACCTCAGGGATATAGAAACCAGTAAGGTTTCTGTTTTTATGGAGCTTACAGGGTACGTGCAGAAAATGTAAAAGGAAAATCATTTCAAATGGCAAACTGCTGTAAATAAGAAAAAACTAAGTAATACAAGCATCTGTGAAGAGACCAGCATGAGAGCCAAAAACAGTGTTTCCTAAACTTCCCTTATTAGAAATACCTGAGACACTTGCTAAAAATAATTCCTGGCCACATTCCAGACCCACTGAATCAAAATCTCCAGGGGGAAGGGTCTAGGAGCTGTAAATTTCACAAGCGCCTTAGGTGATTTTATTAGAGTTGTTAGAAGCACGAGTTAGAAACTTGGGCCGAAGAGTCAGAAATGGGCTTGAATCCCAGCTCAGCTACTGACTAGCTCTGACTTCGGGTCTCACTTTCCCCACCTGAATAATAGGCACATTACTGCTTACTTGGGAGGACTGTTGTAAGCACTGAGAACGCTGAAACAAGGAAAGTGGCCAGCGCGGTGCCTAGCACAGCGTCAACACTAGGTAGGTGAAGTGGGAAAGGCTGTCAGAGCCACGGGGATTACCTGTAATCGAGTGAATCTTCTGTTTTAGCTCGGAGCCTGTGCTATCCAGGGGAAACTTCACGTCGTGCTTAGTCTTGTTCCAGATGATCTTCAGGTCCACCAGCTCCCTGCCCGCGCCGCCGCCCGCGTCCTCGCCGTTGCTGACCGAGGCCTGGGCCGCGAAGTCCCCAGGGGGTTGGGCCGGGGCAGGCTGCAGACTGCCTCGCGCGGCGCAGGAGTCCTCGGCCGCCGCCCCCGCCGCGGCTTCGGCCTCCAAGCAGTTGAGGGGCCGCGCGGGCCCCTCGGTCGCCACGGTCTCGGCCTCCGTGTCCATGCCAGGTTCCTCCATGCCTGCAAGGGGGTTAGGGGGTGGGCGCTCGCCGCGGGCTGGGCCTGGAACCGGATTCTGCCCGGGCGCCGCCGGACCGCCGCTCCC